TTGGATCGATGGTTAAAAATGGCTTTGAGCAAGTGAAACCTGTAGGTCTGTGAGAGGACCATCCTTCTTCAAATCTTGTGAACAGAAGTAGAAAGAATAGTACCAGATAGTAGAAACCACATCATTTGAGGACTTTCAACAGAAACACAATTAAAATTTCTAACACGACTTCAAATAAAAGGTTAAAAAGGAAGCCCTCCCTCGCCATCAATATTGGAAAGATGTGTAATAATGGATATGAGGAAACTTTTTTCCTGACAAATTGTTTTAAGGGAAAGATTTTATAAAATTTGACCAAAAGCAGTACTGGTTACTTGGTCCACAAATATTTCTTTATAAGGAAATATCTAATATTACCATTAACATAATATATCTTTCTGCATTCTGATATTAGATTGATGTAAAAATTTCTGGCACTAATGCTTGCACAATGTTGGAAAAATCTAAGAAGTGTCATCCAATTTTACTAAGTTCTTAAATCCTGTGGACCCATTATACAAGCTTCATAAATTTTATTTAGAGCCTTGCAATCAATCTACTGCAGCACTTTGCATATAAGCCTTATAAAAAATATTATGAAGTTTGGGTGATGAGCCCCACAGGAATTTATAGAAGGGAACATCAGTCAGCTTTTAAATACTTATGTTTCTCTTTGCTTGACACAGGAGAGAAAAAAAGATCATTTTGGAGAAGAAAGTCAATGATGAGGAAAAAAATCAAAGTGAGAACAATGATGATCTTCAACATCTTAATTTCTAGTGTAGAAAAAAAAAATTCTTTCTTTGGTAAGATTCAAAGACAATTCTTTATAACAAGTTTCTGGAAACTGGTCAAACTGTTTCTTATGCAAGGCCATTGTGAGCAACTGGCTTGTTTAAATAACAATTTTTAAAAAAGTTGTTTTTTTCTGAACATGGAAGTCAATTTTTGATTTTCCTGTCTTACAATGCCACACATGCTCATGTTACAAATGCAACATGGCAGATTATTTTGGAGAGATGATGGTAAATTCATCCACAGTTGACATTCTCCAGGCTCATCACTGGTTTCACTCCATGAGGCAATAATTCATCTGGTTCCAGTTGTTCCAACACGTTCAAGATCTCAAAGAGTTTCTCAAATCAAAGTCTGAATCATTTTTTTTATGATGGAATACACAATTGAGCAGAAATGTAGTATATGATAATAAAAAGCCAAGGAAAATACACTGAAACTTGAATAATGATGTTATGAATTTATGGGAATAAAACGATTTTGTTAAGATTTTTATAAATTTTTACATCGACCTAATACTTATGGGTAAAATGAAAACTTTAAAATATATATTCCAACAGTGAACAAACACTAAAATATTAACAAAATCAACAAAAAACATGAGTGAGGATGGTATCTGTTTAATATTAGCGATAATACTGAGCTAATCCTTAGCATACAGAACTTGGTTTATCTAATATTGATTTACTCTAAGATTAGATTCAGGAATTGTTTTTATCATTTCTAAAAAATTATCTATACTAATCTACATACATATGTGGATGTGTGCATATCATTTATTTTAGATTTGTAGAGAGAAACAAAGAAAAAGAATACTGAACTGCCATGTGATATCTGTCCTTTTATATGGCAGTGAATGCTGGACAATCGCAAAGATTAAGAAGAGATTTGAAGCAATAGAAATGTGGTTCTACAGAAGGATGCTGCAGATAATATGGACTGAATATGGGAGCAATGACAAAGTTTTAGAGAAAATGTGAACAAGAAGGAAACATACTTAACATCAAGAAGAACCAACTGAAATTTCTAGGGCACATAATAAGGAATGAGGGCTTGGAAAATATGATACTCACAGGCAAGCAGGACAGAGAAAAAATAATGTATAACATACTTAGTAAGCTTGAGTAAATAGATGGCAGAAATAGGGTTTAGGATATATAACAAAAAGATAAAAAATTTTAAGTACTACAAAGGACAGGAAATTGTGGAGAGCCATATTTGCCAATGTCTTGAAGGGACATGGCACATGAAGAAGGAGAGAGATAATCAAAATGGATTTGACTTTTTAAACAAAAATAATATTTGGCATGGAAGAAGTATTCAAATTATAACTACATCTCTAACAAAATTCTCATCTGCTTAAAATCTATCTTTGAGAAGAAAAAATAACAAAACAATTGAAAGCAGATTATGACTTATCTGTGGTGATTCCAAATTTGAGGCAGTACCTCAATAGCATCAAAATTTGCCTGAAACTCATCAAATTTCATAGCAAGACCCACAAAATGCTTTGTTAGTTTTTTTTTAGTTTTTTATTGAGCATTATTTAGGCCGAACACATTTTTGAGTAGCCCGCTTGTTTCAGACTGGGTGGGAATGAGTTTCAGTTCCAGAGGATAAGTGTTCAGGGTAACTGCTCACCAGCAAAACATCAAAAGATGTAGAAAAAAAAGTTTGTCAACACGAGGACCATCACCAAATAGTTCATCAGCTCCCTCACATGATGAGGAAAAGTTATAGTTTGCCAAGAGATCTGATTTTTGGAATTTTCCCTATATGACATAAGGTTGTATCCAATAACAATAACATAAAAATGTCTACATTGTTTTATTGATCAAACTGCAAGAAACTATCAGTGAACCTTATTTTCAGTTACATGACCATTTTCCTCAACTGAACATTAACTTGACAAAATGTTTACTTCTTGATTTTAAGTTTACTTTATAAAATTTCAATTGGATCATTTTGAAAGTTAACATAGTAATAGGAACACAGTTAAGCATTGAATGCTTAACCATTTAGTATTCAACACACTCAAACATGCCTGTAAATATCAGCTTCCAAAGCCTCAGTATTTGTGGCCAAAGTCTCACTGTTTGCTTAACTTCCTGTGTTATTTGCGATAATATCATATATTATGGCAGAGTGTACATGGGATGTGTTACATCGAGATTTAACATAGAGTGCTAATATTTACAGGGCAGTTTGAATACTAAAAAGGTTAATGCAGAAAAAGGTAATCACATGTCTCATTCATAGCTGAGATAGCTACATACATAAATGCCAAAAATTTCAGTTTCATAATCATCATCAGTCCCATGACAGGGTAGGGTCATAGGGCTGTTACATAGCCAAACATCTGACAAGCTCCCTACATATGTCTCAGGTATGTACCAATGTCTAAAGTCCTTGTGAAGGATCTCCTAGTACAGTCATTGATGTTATCAGATCATTTTTTTCACTTTTTATCAATCTCTTCTTTTGACTAAAGTAGTACTTTGTAGAAGGGAAAAGATTGTTGGCTCATATGACATGGTTATACCATTTAAACTTTCTCTTCTTGACAGTGGTTATGAGATCTTCCAATGGGCCTGTTTCCTGTCTGATGGTGTCTCCCACTGTGTCATTTTTGTTTAATCATTTCACCCCAAGCAAGGCAATAAAGCTACTAAGATGCAAGGGGGTTAATTTAATGAATATGAGAGCAAAAAAGAGAGAGAATAATAAAAGAGCAGAAGATAATGATTGACCTTACATTTAAATTTACAGGGTAGGTTAAATGCTAAAGGGTTAAAAAATATTTTGCCATAAAACGACATTCATTCATTCAATTAAGATAATTACTGTTGATTAATTTCCTAAACCAGAGTAATCTTAACCCTTAAGCATTCAACGTACTCAAACCTGCCTCATAAATATCGGCTCTCAAGGTCTGTTTGCATGACTTCCTGTGTTATTTGTGATGATGTCATTATATATTATGGTAGAATATACATGGGGTGGCTTACAGCAGGTTGAACATTGAGAGCCAATATTTATGTGGCAGGTTTGGGTTTGTAGAATATTAAAGGGTTATTTTACTTCAATTTAATAAAGATCCTGATGTGTAACTTAGTAAAATTAAATCACTCAATAATGGCAGTGTATGTAGTTTATTTGAAATGTTACACCAGCAATATTTTGGAGACCCAATTGTCATTTTATATTTCTCAAACATGTCAAGACTTGCTCAGTATAGAACACAAAGAAGCATAGTTGTGCACTTGTTACTGTGGTACTTAGACAGCCAAGAGAAAATACAATAGTAAATAATGTATGATGAACAATGTTGCTGTTGATTCCTTAAAGTTATCTATTTATGTCAAGGTTTCTAAAGTGCTCAGCAAGTGTCAGTGCTCTTAGACACACATGCTTCATGAACATTGCAAAATACTACCTAGGGGGAAAAAAAAAACAAAATTAAAGGAGAAATAAAGCAGCATCTTCAAATGAAACTCAAAGTTGTATCCCACAATTCATTTTTCATGGATGCTGCCTTAACCAGTTTGGTCATGTAGACATAAATCAATAAGAGAATGACCGGGAAGATGTTTCAGGAACATGTTTATTTTATTGAGTGATTTGTTTTTAACTGCTTATCAACCCTTTGCTGATTATATAAAGCCAAAAAATATTTCAAGATTATAAAAAAAATTTTTTTTTTTTTTTTTAACAATGGTTTAGTGATACATATCTTACTAATTCACCCATAGTGGGTGGGGAGAAGAGGTAGATTCATACCTAATCAAAATTTGATGAACAAACAATGTGAATATAAAGTGGAGGATCAATTCTATATTACAATCAATATATAAAGTGGTCCCTCACTTTGTGACCACCATAGTTTCTATACATTTATATTCCAGAGAATATAAATAAACCTAAAATACATGCCTGTATAGCTAATCAATACTTTATTGTTTCATTTTCTATGGCTTAACAAGCCTTTGCAGCGTATTTAAAGCCAGAAAATATTTTTAGATTCTAAAATTTTTTTTTAAATAATAATGGCTTAGTGATACAAATTTTACTAATTAATCCATAGTTGGGGTGAAAAGAAATGAATTCATACCTTTCCCCAGGGTATTTGCATATAAGTGAATATAACTAACCAAATGGGAATTGGAACTCAGCTTTCAGATCAAGAATTATGAGCTATTACACCACACATACATCCAAGCTTAGACCAACTGGCATTCCCAAGCTGTCACCCATCGAGGTACTGACCAGGCTTGATGTTGCTTAACTTCAATGATCATATAGGAACTGATGTTTCAACATGTGGTCACAAGCCGAGAAACATCTTCCACTGAAGCTTGACAGGCCAATTTGAGAATGGCAGCCTCTCTCACACTTTACATAAACAAAGTGATGCTAGTCTATCAAAATTTTAGGACCTCCTTCATTGCCATTTTACCACTGACTAGGCAAAGGTCACTTTGAACTTAAAGAGAGAGGCCTTACTATACTGCCTGCCTCCAAGATGATTATTTGAACCTGTCTAGGTTGATGCTGAGGATACTTAAGTCTCTTTTACAAACAGCTTTATATCATAGTTGAAACCTGCCTCCAATGCACTTTCTCTGACCCTGCTTTCCATACAGGAGAACCCTGGGTGTTCAACTATAATAGTAATTATTTTCCAGCATGTTGATATAGAACAAGATGGAGTAAATAAAATAACTGTAATAATAATAATAAAATAATAGTAAGAACATAACGTCTATCTACTTGATGGGATAAAAAAAAATCTATAATAAGATGGAACAAAGCTAGTAGTTATAAAGAGTAATATGGAAACTACTTCATCTAATAATTCAAAATCATTAACTGAAGTTGATGTCTTTTATATATATATATATATATATCCAAATGTAAAAGAATGAAAATAATATACATTCATAACATTAATTTAAAAAAGGGCTCAATACAAGAGTAGAGCAACAGATGATTATTACAAACTGTTACACTGGAATATGCTGGTTACCACAACAAAAATGCATATTTGTTTTGATGTCTAATGATATCTCATCAGGTGGTTACCACCTGATGAGATGTCTTTAGACGTCAAAACAAATATGCATTTTTGTCATGGTAACCTGCATGTTCCAGTGTATCAGTTTATTATATATAAATATATATGTTTTTTTTTTTTTTTTTTAAATATAACTTGGTATGGTTTGGTTTTCTTAATAAGTTAACTTATGCTGAAAGTTATAAACGGATAATTTATTTTATCTTTAAATTTTTATTTTTTGATATAAACTTTCTTTGAATATATTCTTACTTAATATAAATTATCTTGTCAATCTTGTTAATACATCTATTTGTAAGCATAATTTGTTTATTTTTTTAAGTGGGTTCCTAACTTTTTATATAATTAAAATTTTTTTTATATAAAAAAATTCACTTTGTCAGCCCCCTTTTAGTTTCAACTGAACACCTCATTCTTCATATAACCCCAATTTAAGGTCATAAGGTTAATATCTGGATTGATTTTGTGGAATGCCTTCCCTTTAAAACTGATAACTTCTGCCCTCCCCTTACCGCCAATTTGGGCATCAAAATGGGTAGGATCTGTATCAATTTTTCGACTGGTGTGAAAGTTAAGTTTTAAATCTCCAATTCCAACAGGAAAACTGCCCAAACACCAGAGTTGAATAAAACTAACATGCTTCACTTTGGTTGAAATAGATCTATACTCATGTGAGGTAATTTTGGATTTTGTTGTGTAATTTATATGCTCTGTTATAATAAATACACTGATCTCTTTTTGTGGATCAGTTTTAATATTTGATATTACTAGGATTCACTTGAATTATATACCAACAGATTTATTACCTGTACTAAATATATATATATATATATATATATATATATATATATATATATGTGTGTGTGTGTGTGTGTGTGTGTGTGTGTGTGTATGTATGTATGTGAGATGGACACTCCTGTTGATTTTGATGTATGAGAATCTGAAAACCTCATTCAGTTTTTATGTTTGTGTCATATGTAACACCGATCTGGCTAGTGACCTGCATACAAGCCCACATTGTGCAACAGTGAAGATCTCAGGACATAACAGGAACATTTTTTGATGTGTTTCATCATTAACTTTTATCTCTTAACCAGTCAATATGACTGATTTCAAAATTTCTGATACAACTCTGGCACAAATATCTCCAGTTATTTTTATCCAGGGCAAATTGCTTGAAGTTAATATGAGGCACACTGAGAGCTGAGGGGTTACTCTTTATCTTGTCTTCATACCTGAGCCATAGCTTCCCAATATTCCTTTGTCCACTGTCAAGCTGGACCATGGGTGTTGTCATCATTCATCATTGCAACATGGCCAAGCAAGGTTGTGACTGCATCAGGAAGATCCACCAATGTTGCTTTTTGCAAGACTCACATTGGATACCCCATTGTCATATTATATATATATATATATATATATATATACACACACACACATATATATATATATATATATATAAGAACATAGAAGTCAACACTTAGAGGCGACAGTCTGTTTCATGCTAGATGCAATTGTCAGGCCATCAGTGTAATTTCAGAAATACACGATTTAAACTGTAAAAATATATTACTATGAAACTTACAATGGCTTTATATTATGGCTTTAAATAACCTACAAAAGGTTGATAAATTGTAAGAAATGAATGAATATATATATATATATATATATATATATATATATATATATATGAAGAAATATAGTCTTAAGATGTGCATCTAGCATGAAACAGACTGTAAGCCTCTAAGTGTTGACTTCTATGTTCACACACACTACCTCTGATATTGAGCACTTTATCCCATAAATATAGCACATCTTAAGACTATATATATATATATATATATATATATATATATATATATATAGAGAGAGAGAGAGAGATAGTGCAGATTATGTTTCTCTTATATTTTTGATATGTTTTTTTGGTTTTTTTTCACAACAGGAATTAAATTTGCAAATCTAAACTCACCAACAAAAAAGAAAAATTAATGAAAGATTTTTCTACCATATATTACGAGGTTATAATAAAAAAAATAAGCTGTCATTCTTTATAGTACAGGTACACTAGTATTACTGTAAATGTAATATTGAGCTAAGCTCACATTTCTCCCCAGTCTTCTTTTCAACAGGAGTAGAGGTTTATTACTTATTTCCTGTTTAGGATTGGGTTTCCAGTATTTCTAAAGTCTTCTTCAACTCTAAACTTCTAATACTTTCTTACACTAATAGAAGTCCACACAGTAATCCTCTACCTTTAGTGGCTCTTGGGCCTTGTACTGGATGAACATTAGTAAACATTTTATATATATATATATATATATGCACACACACAGCTGTTTGAGTAGAGATCTTTTTTTAAAAAAGTGTAATTATTGTCTTCTGACCTGAGCTTTCAAATGTGTTTGATGAAGAGAATGTAGCCTTCAACAGGGTTCATACCTATGTCCACTTTCTTTCATGAGGGTAATCGAGTCTTGCTTCACTATTAAGTTCTTTGTGGCTAAGCTATCTAGAAGCTCACTAAGCTATACATGGGTTTTCCCCTATATAAGGGACACATAAATTTGAACCCTGTCAAAGGTTATATTTTCTTTATTAAAGACTATTGAAAACCTTGGTTGGTAGGTAAACAATTACATTGTTAATAAAAAATAAAAATGTCTCCTCAAACATGTATCCACTATAATACTTATAGTAATAAGAGATATATATGTATATATTAAAAACATATAAGTGTTAGCTTATTACAAGAAACTCACATTAACAAAAAAAATTTAAAAAATGGCTTCTTTCTTTTTTTTGTAACAATAGCATTTAATACAATTTTATCATGGAACAGCTGCTTGTAAACAGATGTTTGCAACAGATAAACTGAGAGGAGATTTCCCCCACCCCCCATGAAATCTCATTTATAGATCACCAACAAACATACCTTATTATTCTTTCCTTCCCACCTCTCCTATAAACCAAGGAGGTAAAGCCAACCAAAATGAAGCCTCAATATTGATTTATCATTGCTTTTGTCAAGTTTGGTACAAGACCACATATAAGTGAGGATGACTTAGAATTAAGGATTTGTGAAAGCTGTCTAACACATCACAACACTATAATTGCTTGTTAGAGTTCATATTAAACAGTAAATAGGATTTTATGTGTTCATTTGATCTTTAGAGATTTTGAGTGTCACAAAAAATGTCCTCTTTAAATGACAATAAATGCAACATTTATTGACTTGCAAACAAAATTAATAGTTAAAATTAAGAAATATTAATGTATACTAACAGACATAGAATAACAGTTTAAATTAAATATTAAATAAGATTAAATGCATGGATCTGAAAAAGAAATAAAATTCAAAAAGTTATAGGAAGTTAAAAAAAATTAGATTTTTTGGTACACCCTCTATATAACATACACCGTTGTGCAAACTGATTGAAACAACTGCTTTAGTTTCTTTTCTTTCACCATACGATCAGTTTTAGACCCACTTGAGTGACAGGGTGTAATCGATTCTATTTTTTTCAGATTAGGTCATTTGCAGTAGCGTGCAGTAATATGTATCTATTTTTGGGGTGTATGATGAAATTTGTTTGGCCTTGAAAAATATTGCATCATCCATGATTGCATCAGATTTTTATTCTGCGCAGACACTATTGTCTCAACTGTTGATTAATTGTCCTATGGCCATTGTCTGCAATGGACATTACTTCAAGGAAGCATACAAAAATTGTAATGCTGCATAAACACACCTCTTCAGTGAGTAGATCAAAGTACTTTAGAGTGGCCCGGAAACTCTCCTGATTTAAATCCAATCAAGAATTTGTGGTCAATCTTCAAGGAATGTTTTCATGGAATGAACATCTGAAGTACTAACATGTACACTGGGTCACGTTTTGTTGGAAAAATATGAAAAAAGAGTAAATAATAACGGAATTATTAATTTTGTTTCAATTAATTTGGCACAGCAGGGTGTACAGTGGGGGTACTGAACAGTTCGCAAGCCAACCTACTTCTTAAAATCTGAACAAATTACCAAACTGAATTTTTTAAAACAATTCTTGATTTTTGTGTTTCAGTAGTAATTTTTTGTTTATTTTCTTTGTATGTGTTGGTATTGTTAATTAGTGCGTTAATTTTTCTACGTATGTATTCTTGTTCATGATCACAATCTCCTCTTCCTTGTCAGAGAGAGTGATATAGATTTCCTTATTTCTCATAAAACACAAAAATTTAACAAGGAAATTAAATTAAGATAAAAACAAATTATGGTATAAACTCATAAAATATCACTGTAGAACACCCAATGTTTATGGTCTGCCTAAAACCCACACAAACAGACATTAAATGAAACATTATCAATTGTTAATTTCATGCAAGTACTTTTTCAACTTATTTTCTTACATTTTCTTACAATTCTCAGACTGTCATTTTACATTTGTTTATAAGAAGCACATATTGAAAATATAGAATAAAAGTAAGTAAAGATTTTAACTTTATTTTTTTCACAAGCAATATATTATATATTCTAGCTAAAGCAAAAAATAAAAACAAATATAATTCCAGCGCTTGAAAACTGCTTCGGCATGAAACTTGGAGTTGTGCAATTAATGTAAGATATTTTATATATATATGTATGTGTGTATGTTTGTTCCAGTAGTAACCCCCTCCAACCCCAGCACCAAATAGATGCTAAAAACAGGGAGTAACCAATCTTAAATATATATAACTTTTTTTATGTATACATATAGAACTTTGATAAATTTTAATTTATAAATTAATCACACTATTAATAATAATAAGTAATAATAAAATGAAACAAATATAACAATATACAGTAATAGGTCATGCGAAATGTTTTTTTTGCTCTTCCTATAGATATTAACATTTTTTTTTTGTATTTTTAAGGCTTCTCTATGGCAATTTCATGCACTTTGTGATGATTATAAAACCTGAGAATTGTTTATTTATGACATTGACTATAGGTAAATGAAACTACAGATGGTGAGGGAATGGACAACTGTATAGAAAAATAAGTTTGGATCTTTACCGAAAAGAAAAATAACGTAAAGAAATTTTATTTGATATGAAATTATTTTTCAGGTATTAAAATGAACCAATGCTATATACTTCAGTGCAGAATAATAATAGTCATAATAATAGTCATAATAATAGTCATAATAATAGTAATAATAATCGTAACAATTACAATAGTCGTAATAGTAATAATAATCGTAACAATTACAATAGTCGTAATAGTAATAATAATCGTAACAATTACAATAGTCGTAATAGTAATAATAATCGTAACAATTACAATAATCGTAATAGTAATAATAATCGTAACAACTATAATGGTAGTAATAGTAATAATAATAATAAGTATAATAGTAGTAATAGTACTAATCATAATAATTATAATAGTAGTAATAGTAATAATAATTGTAACAATTATTATAACAGTAATAATAATCAGAAACATCAAAGTATCATGCTAGCCAAAAGCTTTAACAATGCAAATAAATTTTTGCCAAGACTTTTCTAAAATAAGCCAAAAGCAAAAAATTATAAAAAAAAACTATATATGAAAGTCCTTTCCAGAAAATAGCAAGATGAAAAAGAAGTAAGAGTCTGCAATGCTTCAATAATAAAGAATTGTACACTGTTGCGTTTACAAATAAAACTGTTGCATGTACTGTAGTCCTACAGTACTAAACTTTTTTTCCAGAACATTTGTATGTGAGAAATACTCTGAAAGTAATGCCTCCTATTTTATCATGTTGATAAAACTGTCTGCCAATAACCTATAATTATTTTTTGTCTGGTTACAAATATCAGCCTGGCAAAATGGTGTCCGACATGAAAGTGTATGAAGCAGAGATATATCAATGATTTCTTTCATCCAGAAAAAAAACTGTATCCATTGATATTCATTGATACCTGCAGAGATGAAATAATGATGTAAGCACAGTGAAGCAGTGGGGGCAGCAACATGTGTAATAGGCCACATTCAGGGCAGCCCTGCTCAGGATCTTGTAATCTTTGGCAAAAAATACATAGCCAATAATGGTGACCATGTGGGGAAAATAGTGTTTTGTAGCTGAAAACTTCCTCTGTTCAATGATGTTATTGTACTTGTATCTATCCATGAGAACAAATAGGAGGCATTGTTTTTGGAGCATCTCTCATCATACACTGCAGAGAAAAAAAAAAAGTACTGTTAAAAAAAAAATTTTAAAAATTGCTCTTTTTATGAAATGCCAATGTAGAAGTTTTAGAAGAATTTTTTTTTTCTTTTGGCTGGAAAAAAAAATTGAAGTAACAGAAGCAATTTCATCTTAAACAAGCAGATAATCAACATTAGTAAAAACAACAACAACAGTGAACAATATTAAAACTATACAGCAAAAGGCAATCAATGCACAAAACAAATAAATATAACAAAATATAATAATGGATGATATACGAAAATGGTGCCTTTTTCATTGAAGTTTTCAAAGTAATGCCAAAAAGCCTTAGAAAGAAGCTTAAAATTAACATTATTAAAATTCTATAACTTTTTTTATTTTTACACATTTAGATGCCAGTATATTGTAGCAATCAATTTTTTTTCCATCTAGTCATTAATACTGACATTTAACAATCATATCTGGAACTTATATATGTAAAAATTCATATCTAAATCAAATATATCTGTAAAGACAATATAAATAAAAGACAAAAGGAAATATTTTCTTCGTCAACGTTTACCTTAATAAGGAACCTCAAAGGACAAATATGCATTGGTGAAGAGAACTTTTCCTTTTGTTGTATAGTGATTTTCCAAGTGTAGCTTAAATGTGGCACAAGGCCGAAAGAAGGAGGCAACCAGTGAGGATCAAATTCACTACTCAGTCGTAATTGTTCCAGCAAGACAAGCTTGCTAACCATTACACTGCCTCAAGGTGCTCCCTTTTGTTGTATATATGTACTATTTATATAATAAGGATAATTTTTTCACATTTTTTTTTTCTCTTTCAAATAAAGATATACAGAAAATATCAAAAACAAAGAAAACTACACAGAATAAGCATACATAATCTTTCTGATTTTATTTCTAAATATTTGAATTCAATTGCATAAAAAACATGTTTCTGCATCTATATTCATACTATATATATATAAGATCCAAGCTATCAAGTGAAAATTTAATTTTTATGACTCATAATGAACATCAGATACTATAATTTTTGTTTGAATTTCTGGTATGAGGAGTTATTTACACTATTTATATTTGGACTATTATCCTCATCTTTGTTGTTGTTATCAGGACATTTCAGCTGTTGTGTGCCCTCCAGCCTTCCTCAGGTGGATATCGATCTGGGTCACCTACAACAGTCTACCCCCCCACCCCCCGTTCAGAATTATCTGTAGGTGACCCAGATCAATATACACCTGAGGAAGGCCAGAGGACACAATGGTTGAAATGTTGTGATAACAAAGAGGAGGACTAATAATAATGTAAATAATCAAATACTTTATTTAACTGAGATGTAACTAAAATTTTTAACACTTGCTGCCGAGAGCAAGGAAAAACTTATTCCTGCTTTAAGATATAAAAGAATACCAAAATACTTTTGGCCCAATCTAAAATCAAAAGTTATTTTCTAAAAGAGTTAATTTTTGCTGTACTGAAAAAAAATAAAATAAAAATCTATGTTCAAGATAATTCATTAAACAAGTTAATTATGAAATTGCAATCCTTTTAAGTCAGTATAAAATTGACATGATTCCTCTACCATAAATAAAAATGGCGACCACACTTTGGATATCAACCAAAAACTATGAAACACAATGGATCAAAGCAGCAAACTACAATAATGAGCTTAAAAACTAATTAGTGAATTAACGAACTGACATACTTGCAGGGATGGTGTTTGGGACTTTCCCTGGATTTTTGTAGAGGTGTTTTTTGTTTTGTTTTTTTTAGTTGAGAAAGAGGAACAGTAGGAAAAGGAGGAAGAAAAAGAAATGAAAGGTATGTGAACAGTTATAGAGAATGAAGAGAAAGAAAAAGTAAAGACAAAAAAAACAAAAAATAATTAACTTGAAACAAATAAAAAAAACAAACAAACACACACACACACACACACTCTCTCACACACACACACGCATTTTCAAAAACAAATTTTTATTATATTTTTTAAGTTAATGCTTTGAAAGTAAACATTTTTTTTTATTTTACTAAAAGATCTTTTTCAAAACAATTTTTTTTTTCCTACATATTTTTTCTTTCTCTTTTCTCAAGGAAACAGTTTGACAATTTGAAACATGCAAAATACTTACGGCAACTTTTGCATCATCCTATCAAGAAACAGCAAAAGGTGTAGTTGTACAAGAGAAATTCATATTTTTTTTTGTTATTTTGTATCTAGGAGGTTGGAGGTCAGACTGGCCAAAATTTTACAACTAATTTTTTTTTTTCAACTTCATTAAATGAAACATTATCAATTGTTAATTTTACGCAAGTATTTTTTCAACTTATTTTCTTACATTTTATTACAACTCTCGGACTGTCATTCTACATTTTTTTTATAAGAAGCACATATTGAAAATACAGAATAAAAGTAAGAAAAGATTTTAACTTTATTTTTTCCTCAGGCAACTGCCTTACCAATTAGACTACAGAACCTCAATTATAACCATTTATTTCTCATTGTTTATTTTCCTTCTATGCCTGATTTGTTGCCATCATAAGTGTTTAACTACTAGTAAATGAGAAGTCAATTGTTATTAATTTTTCACTAGTATGAGTGGGTGCTGAAAAGTTTTTGGCCTGGCCAAAAAGGGATTTAAATTTTTTTTTTAATTCAATTCAACCAAGGTTATAATGCCACAAAGACACAAGTGGCTAATGGAAGTGAAAATGAAGGAAAAGACTTTAAAAAAAGGAACTGGAAACCCAATCCTAAACAGGAAACAACAAATAAACCTCTACTCCTGCTCAAAAGAGTGGGAAGAAGTGTGAACCTATCTATTCCCATTAAGAAAAAATTAAAATTAAAAAATTAATAGTACATAAAATTTCAGAGTTTAGGCAGAGACGTTAGAAGTATAGAGATGAAACAGACATTAAAAGGAACCCGAAATCTAATCCTAAACAAGAAACAAAGGATAGCCTATAATATATTCTATACAGAGAACATGACACAAATAATAAAAAAGCATAACAGGAAAACTATCAACAAACCACCTGAACAAATTAAATGCACATATAACTGCAGAATAAACGACGAATGTCCCTTAAATGGTAATTACTTACAAAACAAGTCACAGTAAAATCATCAGATAACAAAGAAAAATATACATAGAAGTAAGCGAAGGACCCTGGAAACAAAGAAACTGCACACACAAAATGTTTTTCACAAATAGTAAATAGATGAACAGCATAATGCTTTCCAAGTATATCTGGGAAGTTAAAAACACAAAGCAAATCACACAAAAAAATATCATGGAAAATAAGGAAAAGAATATCAGCCTACAACAATCAATCCAAAAACTGCAAACTCTGCTTGGAGGAAAAAAATAGCTATAATCACTGTCCCAAACCAAAACAAACTACTAAATAAATGATCAGAATTCACATCAAAATGTAGACATGAAAACAATTTTTTTTACTATCTTACTTAAAGAGCGAAAACTGAAAAGAATAAAAATAAATAAAATAAAAATGAATAACATTATTTACATTATTCGAACTACTGTCCTCATCTTTGTCGCCATATCTATTACCAAGCATTACATTGTATGCTCCAGCCTTCTTCAGGTGTTGGAATGTTGAACTTAACCCTTTATTTCACTCACTGGGTAGACTGTTTTAGTTCCATGTTTTTTCTAGTTCCAATTATTAATGAATGTCAGTTATCAGTTATCTCCTGTTAATTTCCCTCTGAAAGTTCTCCACTGCCTTAACCGCGTATTGAACTCACACTCTTTGGGTCCTGTCACTGGATCTAACCAACTCGTTTATCCACTGTGTCATGTGTCCTTGAGGGCATCTGTGTATGAATTTCTGGGTATTATAAACCTAATGTCTTCAGCACCATTTTTACCAGTGCTCATATTGCAATTTTTTGGCTGTTATCTTGAACAGAGCATGGGTTCAAGACATCCGTATACCGTAAACCGACATTCACCGGACAGTACCTCAATTTCAACTCCCAGTATCTATACAGCATAAAGATGAGTGTTTTATTTGTTTCTTTTTAAAATACCTACAGTAAAATGGAAATTAATAAGAAAAGCTAGAATATGTAGGTCATTAAATGACCCATGTCCTTTGTGCATACATGAGTAACTATATATTACTAAGTTTATAAAAAATAAAAATTTACTAAATCAAAGAAATAAAATAGCTATTCTTTTGCTGTCATTGTCAACAATTTTCCTTAAATAATATTCAAAAATAAAATAAAAAAATGGGAGCTGGTAATATACATACTTATATTTGATATGAAATAATTTTTAAATAATTTAAGTAACTATTACATTTACTTGATTTAAAAAGAAATATAGTCTATTAGTAAATAAGAGTAAAAATATTTTAAAATTGTAATTAAATATAATGTATTCTAACCCAAACACCCCTTTTAAAAAGAATCTTTAAGTATACAACTACGAAAAAAATGTCGAAAAACTTTTTGTCATTAATAATAAAAAAAAAAAACAGATGACGTGTTTAATGGATGTCAGAATTCGTTGAAAAATACACTCCTACCCTCCCTAAACTTAACCTCTTTTTCAAACATAACTCATAATTGATACCACAATAGTTAATAAAAATGAACATGCTACCACCCTTGTCTAAATGATTGGATTTCTCTGTATCCTTGGAAACAGGAAATTATGAATTTATATGTGCATTTAAAACTCAGTAAATTTAAAAATAAGTTATTCCAAAATTTGCTTGAAGATGAAACAGAACTAATGCTTTTAATTTAATTATATAATTAAATTTGAAGTTTTTAGGTTCAGTTTTTGAAACATAGTTATTACTGTGTAGCAAAGAAACCATATTTTAAATCAGTTAATTTATTATATATATATATATATATATATATACACACACACACATCGAGGTTCACTTATATATAAGTGAACCTTGAAGTCAACACTCAGAGGTGACAGACTGCTTCATACTAGACACAATCATCAGGCCACATGTGTTTTTTTTTCTCGAATATTTTATATAAAGGGTCAGTGGTACATTGTGGGTAGTCCATTCTAACTGTTATTTTGGCGAGTTTATTTATTTGGATTATCTTACTTGTTTTTTTATATATTTTTATTTATTCTTTTTGGTTTTCAATGTTTTAGTAATGTAATAAAAACTTTTCTGAGATGAGTTCTAATCGTTTAATTAGTAGCTTGTTTTGGTCTGGGAAGGTTATCAAAGCTATTTTTCGTCCAATTTTTCAGATTGATAGTTATAGTCTATTCTAACGGTTATTTTGGTAGGAGTGGTTTGTTAATTTGTTTATTATTTACTTTATTTATCTATTTATTTATTTGGATTATTTTTAATTGTTTTTGCTTATTTATTTTTTATATATTCTTTTCAGACTATTCTAATGGTTATTTTGTCGGGAGTGATTTGTTAATATATTGTTTATTTATTTATTTGGATCAATGTATTTTACTTTTCTCATTTATTTTATATATTTTTATTTATTCATTTAGGATTTCAACTTTTAAGTAACATAGTAAAAATTTTTTGACTTGAGTTCTGATCATTTATATAGTAGACTCTTATGGTCTGGGAACATAATTATAGCTATTTTTTCATCCAATTTTTGGATTGATTGTTGTAGTCTATTCTAATGGTTATTTTGGCAGGAGTGCTTTGTTAATTTGTTTATTATTTATTTGGATTGATTTACAACATCATAGATGAATGAATAAGACTCAACACACTTCAAATAGAACATAGTACTTCCTCAAAAGGACCCTAAACATATTAAACTCTTATATTGTAACCAGATGTATGCTAGCTACAAACAAGATGAGAAAAATCATTAAAAAAAACCTTATTCATACCAATATATCTCCCACAGATTCCAATAAGAAAATAAAATTAATCATATATTATACAAAATACAATGCAACCAATTTAATTATTCACAATAACTCCTCCCCACCAACTTATGTATTATGTAAAACCAACATTATATATCAATTCAAATGTTCCTTGGGAGAATGTATCTCCAACAGAAAAACAAATATATATGTTGGATATACAACAGCTACATTATCAAGATGTCTTACTCTACATATGTCTGACCATTCGTCCATTGCAAGACATTTACACCAACATTCCTGTCCACATTCACAGTATAGAAAAATACTGATTGATAACACAACTATCCTACACCAAGAAAATAACAAATTAAAACTACAGATCTTCAAAGGAATCTACATTAAAAACTTGAAGCCAACACTGAATAGAATCAGCTATGAATTGTGTAATAATGTTCTAAAATGACTATAAAAAGAACAGTTTTCATGCTTTAATGTGCGTCTGACCATGACATACCAACATAAAAGAAAAAAATTCCATAATGGATAATTTTTCACATTCTAATGCATAACTGTCTAAAGTATAAGTATCAGCCATTGCAAAAAGAAAAAAATTTAGTAATGGAGAGCTACAAAGTACTTGGGAAATAAAAGTAATTTTCACTGTTACACTGCATTTCTTGTCTCATTTGATTGTAATACATGGAAAAATATTAGTGAATTTGAAAGGATGACACTAAAAATAAGCAGACATAATGTTTGTAATTTATTTAATCAGACATGCCTAAAAGAAAATTTGCTGCATATATATATATATATATATATATATATATATATATATATATATGTGTGTGTGTGTGTGTGCTACCTAAATATATACACACACACACACATTAACCACTAATTTGAATGGCTGCTCCCTCATGAAAGAATATGGTGAGTACTGCTTTACAGCTTGTATTGTGTAAATTGGACTGACTTAAGAAAGTGGAAACATTCCAGAATCATGACCAGCAATCGCCTAACAGATTGCATAATGATACAAACCCTTCTGGATACAACTGGTCTGACCATCATCATTCCCAATAATAAAGAGTCAAACTCTTAAGTTATATGGTCACATCAAACAAAAACAAAACAGGATTATCAAAAATATGCATTGAAAGGATGGTTGCTAGGAAAAGAAGCAGAGGAAGCTCAGCAAACAATGTGGCATGACAATATAATCAAATGTCAACTTGATATTAAATCCTTAAACTGAGCCACCCAAAACTGTGAACTCTAGAGCG